GGTTTACATGTATACAGAGACTGGACATCAAAATATACAAATCAAATGGAACTGATTTTATTAAATTAATGTATAAAACGAGAGAATAATAATTCCCTCTTCACTATCTCATCCATTTGAATACTACATACTGCTTTTATTGTCCTCATTTGTAAGTCGCTTTGGATAAAAGCGTCTGCTAAATGACTAAATAAAAAAATTAAAAATTTGAAGAAAAAGAAAAGCATCAATAATTCTGTGAATCTGATCCTTAAATAGCAGTTGTTAAATAAAAATTCTTATAAGAAAGTTGTTTTTGTGTATTTTTCTGTAACTTAATCCTGGTTCTCGTGATCCCCAGAAGAAAGTTCCATGGAATGAACTGTATTCCGATTAACATGGTCCCTACACAGTGTTCACTGCTGTCTACTCCCTGTGCACATGGGAAATCGGCTGAAGTTTACTTAACAAGAACACAGATTTGCGCTACACCACTGCCTGCAGCGTCTTCACACAGACAAAACTTACTACAGAAGTGTTATAACCATAATCATGAGCAGGAAATCTCACACTCATCTAAGCCACACAGAAAAAAAGGGGTCAAAATTGTACCTTTTGCGGTACAACAGCTTGTCACTGTATAGCAGTACTCTTAAAAGAACATCTTGGTACCTTTTTTTTTTACTCCTAATAGGTACATATTAGTAACTTAGAGTATAGTAATTCATACCCACTCATCTAAGCCACACAGAAAAAAAGGGGTCAAAATTGTACCTTTTGCGGTACAACAGCTTGTCACTGTATAGCAGTACTCTTAAAAGAACATCTTGGTACCTTTTTTTTTTTACTCCTAATAGGTACATATTAGTAACTTAGAGTATAGTAATTCATACCCTTAAAGTACAAATTTGTAGGCCTACACTGTAAAAAATAAGTGTAATTTTAACTGTTAAAAACGCTATGGAAAAAATTTTTTTTTTACAGTGTACCTATAGGGGTAAAAAAGGAACAAAATATTTCCTTTTAAGGGTCCTGTTCCAGTGACAAGCTGTTGTACCCCAGAAGATGCAATTTTGGCCCCTTATTTCCTGTATATAGCCTATACATCCACAGCAATTTCTGAAACCAGACAACCCTATTATTTGTATGGCCATCACATAAAAAAGGTCCAAATCCTTAGTCTGAGGCCGTGGAAAATAATTAAAGGTTCTCTCTTGCACTGCACCTTTCACTTTTCTTAATTTTCCCCAACCCCCCCCCATTACATACAAATATACACTACCAGCAGGGGCGGACTGGCCATCTGCACGTTCTGGAGAAGTGCTGGCTGGTTCATCATCAAAGAAAAAGTGTCAGATTAAGTGACGTTGACGGCCGACAAAAGGGGCACTAATGCAATATATTTTTGCTTATAAGAAACCGAAACTGACGCGAGGCGGTTGGGAGAAGCTAAAAGGAAAAAAAGCGAACAGAGAAATTTTGCTGTACTTTGGATCAAATAAATGCAAGCTTGGTGAGCAGAAGAGACTTCTTTAAAAAACATTAAGAATCTTACTGATCAAAACCTTTTGACTAATGTATTAAAACACAATTTCTAAAGTGCCTAAATGTCAGAATTAGTACAATATATTTGTTGAAAAAGTCTAATACACTATTGAATTATTAGGCTGTGAGCTGTAGGCTGTGTATGTGTCATATTATTTTTGTGTTGCTGTCTGCTCTCCCTCCCTGTACAATAAATCCATGTGAATATCTGTCTCTGCTAAATTTTTTTAATGTAACTTTACAATTGATATTGATGTCCTTTAGCACAGTATTCTGAATGATGATGCGGGTGAGAGATGTTCAGGAAAAAGTTTGAAAGTCATTATAGTTTCAATGCTGCAGAAATAATATACCTTACCTTTACGAAAACCAGAGGTGTAAAGAGTACCTAAAAACCATACTCGAGTAAAAGTACAGATACCATACAGTGAAAATTATTCCACTACACGTTACAAGTCACCAATTCCAAAACAACTTGAGTAAAAGTCTTACAATATTACTGTTTTTGCTGTACTTTGGATCAAATAAATGCAAGCTTGGTGAGCAGAAGAGACTTCTTTAAAAAACATTAAGAATCTTACTGATCAAAACCTTTTGACTAATGTATTAAAACACAATTTCTAAAGTGCCTAAATGTCAGAATTAGTACAATATATTTGTTGAAAAAGTCTAATACACTATTGAATTATTAGGCTGTGAGCTGTAGGCTGTGTATGTGTCATATTATTTTTGTGTTGCTGTCTGCTCTCCCTCCCTGTACAATAAATCCATGTGAATATCTGTCTCTGCTAACGCACAAGATGCAGTACTTTCAGTGACCTGTAATAGGCAGTATCACATCTTTTGTAGCAGAAATGAACTGCTGCAGAAAAAGCTAGGTCCATGCAAAATTTAATGTGTAACTGCAACACTCATTTCAAATGTAGTGGAGTAAAGAGTACAGATACTCATTCAAAAATGTAGTGAAGTAAAGAGTAAAAGTTGCTAATATCTTTGATACTCAGTACGACTACAAAGTACCCGAAAAGATACTCAAGTACAGTAACTAATTACATTTACTCCAATACTTTACACCTCTGACGAAAACTACAAAGAACACCAGCTAGACTACAATAACTGTGAATACAGCTCAGTGACCAGAAGTGGTAAAGCATGAATTTCTTCATCATTTGCTTTGAAAAAGCAGCTTAATAAATTCTGTTGTACAGTAATCAGTTGTTCAGAAGCATTTATACTATAAGCTATTATACACCATTTCATAATTGACAGTGTCAGTTTGCCAGAGAATAGAGAACTACATTTCATGTTACACATTTTATGTATTTGTAAAGCAAAAAGAAATACAAACTATTTTTTCCTTGCAGAATGGAGCAAAAAATTTAAGAATACTGTTGCTATGTGTACTGCATTAGACCGACCGGGACTTGTCACAGCACTTACATAATATTGCTCTTTTGTTGGTTTGATTGCTTCTATTGTCCTCATTTGTAAGTTGCTTTTGATGAAAGCATCTGCTAAATGAGTAAATGTAAATGTAAAATCATAATTACTCTAACTACTCATCGTATATATCCCACTGGTAACTTCACAGACCTGGAAAAGATACAGCATATTATAAAAATTTCATCTCTAACACATACAGATATCATATCAAGGATATTTAGAGGTTTAATGCAACAATGATCATGCTGAATATTTATAACTCACTATTTGATCTTCTCCTTTTTATGCAGATGCAGCAAAAAATCACAATGAGCAAAAACAGAACTGCTGTTACTACTGCTGCAGCAGACCGTGGAGGATCTGGTTCACAGTTAGAACATTCTCCATCTGCACAATGAAAATAATAAATAAAAAATAATTGTATAATCACTGTTTTTTAATAAACATTAGAAACTATTGAAATGCAGTAAGACACTTTAAACTTAATTGTTTGTGGCCAGCAACAATAATCTATTTCAGCATTATCATGTTCTCATGTTACAAATATGTGAGTGACTGTATTTCTGGTGATATTTACCCCATTCTACTGAAGCTGGTTCTGTCAGGCTGCTGTGAATGACAAAACAGCTATAAGATCCTTTGTGGTTTCTGTCGATCTTCACACTGGTTCTCAGCTGAAAGGTCCCATCAGCATTTGGTCTGATTCCAGACGATGTTTGATCCTCAAGAATATTTGTGTCCAACCTAATGTACATCTCAATATCTCTGGGGTAGAAACCAGTGGCCAGACAGCTCAGAACCTGCTTACTGTGATCATCAGGAGCTTTATTTGCAAAGATGTGAATATCTGGTCGACCTGAAGCAGAAAATAGTAATGCAATTAACAAACAAACATTACAATTTATGTAATTGCTTTCTATGCTGTCAAAAATTTTATTCTTCATTTCCTTAAAACAAAATCACATTCTGTGTCCCTGAAAGAACACTGTAAAAAATATGATCAGTAAGTCATGCAAACATGTGTTTTTTTCATTCGTTTAACTCATCAAAATAATGTAACCATGCAGTTTCAACTTCATTGTTTAAGGTATATGAGATTGAAATAGATTAGCCTATACATTTTAAAAATGAGTAGAGAAATGACTTGTACAGACAATTTGATTATACTTAAAAAATTAAGGTAGCAAATGGCCTTAAGTTTTTTAATTGAGGTGGATTTTTTTTTTTTTACAGTGAAAGTCATACATGTTTGAATATTTAAACATTGCTTGAAGTAGAGCCCTGCACGGGCCTCAAATTTAGGCCCTAGCCCGGCCCTGGCCCGAGACGCTCAGGCCCTATAGCCCTGCCCGTGTCCGACAGCTTATCAGAATTACCGGCCCGAGCCCGTCTTTCCCCCCCTTCTCCCAAAACAGCTTATACTACTGTTTCAGCAATTAAAATAGTTCAGTTTTGTATGTAATAGCAAAGTGATTATATTTCGTTT